TCTTTAGCACAACTTCCGGTACATAGGAAACGTCCCATAACCGTGGGTCATTATTATTATTCTACAATATTAAATACGAGTCCACAGTCACTTATCTAAAACTCTGGAGGCCAAATGTGTTCTGGAACACAGAATTTTCACGTTTTAGAAAGGTAAAATGCTGCACACAATTTTAGACAGACAGACAGGCAGGGACAGATGGATAGGTGGATAGATGGACAGATGGATAGATGGATAGATAGGTATCCCCTTGAACAGAACCTGGGCCAGCACCCACCATCAAACGTGAATATTTCTACAGCACAACATGCCCTAAGCAGGTAAGTAAGGACCATAAGTAGTCTCACATCAGTTCACTTCACATCAAATGAAAAATGAAGAACACTAGGCCTTCAGAGATTTGGGGAATTTGTAACTGCAGAGAAGGGACTGCGGGACTATATTCACAAAAGCACCTGGTCCCCACTGGGATGCTCTGTTCCGATCAGCCCACTAGACACGCACGTTCCTGCCCTGTGAGAACCCGCCAGGCTGCACGCACGGAGCTGTTTGGCTCAGTACAAGTTGCTCAGATGACCTGGGAAAGCTGGGAAAGGCTCCCTCAATTCCCTCCAACTGCCATGGCCCAGGTGGCCTCCCCAGGTGAGCTCACTCTTACCTTCACCCCTTCTCACCTAAAGGGGCAGGGGGAGACAAGAAAAGTGGCTGGTGGTACATCAGGAATCTACTCCACCATCTTCCTCTTTCTTTGAGTTTTATTCAGGAAAAACAGGAAGAGGAGACCACATCAATGAGGGCAGCCATATTCAAATTTTTCGTTGTTTTTTTAATGTCAAACTAATCTAGAAAAGAAGCCCCATAATCAAGAAGAAGTCTCCCATCTCCTCCGTGTCTCCCACGGTCACGTGACATCGACTTACGAAGCTCTTCCAGCAACGGGGTGGGGTGGGGTGGGGTGGTGAAAGGTGCCCCACAGTGTAGCCCCAGGGTGTGCCGCCTGTATGAGGACATTACTTAAAGAACCAATTACTCACTCCCCAAGGTGACCCAAGAAAGTCCAAAGCTGAAACTGAGCAGGACCTGTAGGGGCTCCTGGGTACGGGGAGCCCTTCCGTTCAGCCTCCATGACCTTCCCTGAGTTCCGAGGGGCAGATTCCACCGGTTGCTAATCCAGGAAGGGAGGGGATGGAGAGACATGGGAGGAGCAGCCAGGAAACAACAGTGCAGCCTTGGGGCAGGGTCCTGGTTCCTCCTTAAGGAACACTTAGTTTTCGAGAGCAGGAGCCTGCTGTAACCCCCTCTGCCTGGCAAAGCAATAAAGTTACTCTTCTACTTCACCCAACACTCTGTCTCCGAGATTCAATTCAGCACCCCGTGTAGAGAGGCACCCGTGATCACAGCCAGCTCACAGCAGATAACCAGCAATAGGCTAGCAGAACGCATACTGACCCTAAAATGAGTCTGCACAAGAGAGCTAAAATGCTCCGAAAGCAAACTGCGTTCTATTTAACCTAAATGAATGCTCCGTTATTCCCAACTTATGTGCAAATTATAAGGCTCGCTCTTCCCCCAGTTGAATCACGAGTGGTTCCCACCAGTAAAGGAGAAGCCTTTACACATAGTAGGTGCTCAATGTTCTAGCTAGTGCCGGGGTTGGCAAACTACGGTCCAGGGGACCAACTGACCTTCTACCTGTTCCCGTATGTTAAGTCTTGCTGGAACACAGCCACACCCATTCACAAACACATTCTCTGGGGCTGCTTTTGCATCATAATGGCCCAAACGAGTTAAATATTTACAAGAAGACCACAGGGCCCACCAAGCCTAATATGTTTACCTCTATTCTTCAAGTTTGCTGACCTCTATTCTTCTGAAAGGAACACTGGCTAGGAAATCTGACAGACCTACATTTTTTTTTTTTTTTTTTTTTGCGGTACGCAGGCCTCTCACTGTTGTGGCCTCTTCCGTTATGGAGCACAGGCTCCGGACGCACAGGCTCAGCAGCCATGGCTCACAGGCCTAGCCGCTCCGCCGCACGTGGGATCCTCCCAGACCGGAGCACGAACCCGTGTCCCCTGCATCAGCAGGCGGACTCTCAACCACTGCGCCACCAGGGAAGCCTGACCTACATTTTTTTATTATTTATTTATTTACTTGGCCACGCTGCGTGGTGTGTGGGATCTCAGTTCCCCAACCGGGGATCAAACCCATGCCCCCTGCAGTGCAAGCATGGAGTCTTAACCACTGGATCACCAGGGAGGTCCCCAGAGAGACCTACATTTAAATCCCAGTTCCATAATCACAAGTAGAAATTACCTCGCAATTCTCAGTAATTTCAGTGACCTCATGTATAAAATTAGGATACCACTATCTACCTTGCAGGGGTGTTATGAAGATTAAATGAGATACTGAATGCACACGGTAAATAAGAAATGATAGCTATTAAACTTTAATCAAAACCAGGTACAAATCTGTCTACCATGTTAAGAAATACTCAAAGGTAAAGTGATTCAAGCTTCAGCCAACTATTTTTTTTAAATAAGACCTTGTGCTTGCATTCATCTACATTCCCTGCTAGGAAAAGGAATAACAATACCCAACCACTACTGTTTTGGAAAGCCAAAAGTACTTCCCTTTTCCTCTCTTATCTTTTTAGTCCTGAATTTAAAAATAAAAAATTTCAAGAAGCCAAGCTTCAGAGAATTATTTAATACAAAGTGAATCCCTTCGAATAAAACTTAAAGTGTACTTCAGGCTCTGAAGGAGAAATCTTGCTCTACGATAAAGGAAAAACTCAGGTATGGGTCCCTAAAAGATACGTTTCCAGATTTCAGTAAAGCAACCAGGAACACTTGCCGAGAGTATGCCTAAGTTCCTGAGTTCACACAGGTATCCAGGATTCGTTGAGCACCTGCTATGTTCCAGGCTCTAGGCTCCAGGTGTGAACAAGGCCCATAGTCACCATACTTAGAGACCTTAGAGACCAGGGGGGGTGCTCAGCACTGGGTCAGATCAGAACCACAAGACATGGCCTTGACTCCAAAGCCATCGGTATGAAGTCACACAAGATATCAGAGCTTGAGGGCCCTGAGAGAAGATGTAGTCAAACACCTGCCCTGCACAGACAGGTAAAGTGACTTGTCCATGACGGCACGCGAGTCAGCAGCAAACCCCTTCTTCCTGCTTTCCTTCCCACCGAGCTGTCTTTCTTAGAAAGTACTTCACAAAGGGTCAAGTCTTAACCTTTCACTCCTTTGTGACTCTGCAATTCCTATTACGAAAAAAAGACCCAGTCTTCAAACCTCTGGGCTCCTGCAGACAACGTTACTACTTTCTTCTTCTGTCTTCCCACCAAATTCTGTGCATCTCTATTACTGCACACTCAACACTGACTGGAGCCACTCCCTTATTTATTCATGCCCACTCCGCCCCCCCGCCCCCCAGACTACAAGCTCCTTGAAGACAGGAACCAAGTCTTAATACTGACTGATACTCCTATCCCTCACCTCCTCCTTCCTATCAGGAGTCCGATACCATCCGAGTACCCCGCCTCTTCCACACGGCCACACGCTTCGCTCAGGGGAGGCTGAACCCCTTTGTAGGACCCGGAGGTTGAGCGTGACGGCTGAAGGCCACCGTGGACACCTGTCCATTTCCAGCGATACTATGGTGGGCACGCAAAGCCATTCTGGCCAATGCGATGTAAAAAAGTCTGCTGGGGAGCTTCAGAGAAGGTTTCCTCCCAAGTACCAAGTAAAAGACACAAGCAGACATTCTTCTTCCCTGGCCATTGCATTAACTATGCAGACTTAATGGAAATTACTCAATCTCCTTATGATAGATAACTTTAAGTCAACTAAGTCAGCGTTCAGTTACTCTGAGCCAGAAGCATCCTGATTTGCACACAGAAAGGTTCGTGGAGCCGTGATTCAAACACAGACAAGGAGACTTCCCAGACCTCAAAAATGTAAGGGACTAGAGAGTCTCTATCACCCTCCCCTTTGTAACGCTCCCACCACCCAGCAGCCACCACTTGTTAATTTCAGCTAAATGAATAAAACAGATGAATGAAACAGGAAATTTAAGCTCGGCCTTCAAAGACTATTAGGGTAAATTTTATGTCGAGTTTTAAGTGAACTATTAGGGCCCGAGGTAACCGGTCTAAAGCCTGCTGACTCTTAGATAAGATCAAGGTTTAATGTAATTGGAAAACAGTCTATACTAGAGCAAACAAAGAAATCCTGTAAGCACCCTTTCCAAGTCCGAATCCATGTCAGAAGACTGGTTCAATGAAAAAAATCACAAAAGGTTCTGTTTCTGGAAGCCCGACTGTCTATAATGTCTATAGCACCTATTAGCACATGTCCCACGCTGTCTTCCCCCTCAACCGGATCCAAAGGGGCCACCTTCTTAACAAACTAAAGGTGGGGAGGGCGAGGGGGGGAAACGACACCTCTTCAGCACTTTGAGCCCAGCCCAGTTTTCATTCATGGGACCCCGCCTGGCCCTTCCCACCCGCCAAGGGCACCTGAAGAGCCTTGATCTTTGGAACCTAAAGGATATCCTCCAGGCCTTTACACACAAGTCACCGGAGGGCCCTTGGCTGAGTACCTGGGCCGACTTCAAAACAGCTAAAATGCAGGTAAAATGCCCACATCCTACTGCCAATTCCACCCCCAGAGAAAATCGGTGAAGCCACTTGCTCTTCATGAAGGGCTACTCACTGCTAGACGCGATAGTCACTTTAACTTCAAGGCTGCAAATGCTTGCAACCTCTCCCACATAAAAGCCTCTCTTTATCCGGTCACTTGGCCTTCTCTCAGTGCGCTAAAGGACAAGGGGTTTTCTGAGCTCCAACAAAAATCAAAGAAAACTCTACTTGCTCTTACTGGAAAGCAAGGGATCATGCTGACGGCTCACAAAGGGTTCTCCTAGGACCCATTCTGATCCCCCACGGCTGCCCGGCCACCTAGAAGAGCATCTTCCAGCGCATGGCTTACCTTGTAATTGCTGGAGTTCACCCAAAAGGTAGCGAGTCCGTCCACGAGTTTGTCTAATGTGGTCTGGTCATGCTCAAGGTCGGCAGACTTCTGTTTGTCTGAGAAATAGTCTATCAGTTCTTGGCCAACCTGCAGTCGCTTCCCCACATCCTTCTGCAGCACCTGTGCCAGGCAGGCCTCCATGCGAGGCTCCATGGTGGAATTCCAATCCAGAGCCAGCCGAAGCTAGAGGGCAGTCAGGGTGACACCCTCCCAGCAAGCGTCCCCGGGAGGCGGCCTCTTTGTTTGCTGAAGGTTACTAAGAGCCTGTGTTTCAGAGATGCAATCTGGGGAATGGCAACAATGCACCATGTGTGTCTGAAGAGCAGCTGGTAGGATATTAAAAGTCCAATTTAAATAACTAGTAGGGGAGAAGGGAGTGAGTGGCAGAGTGATGTTCTCCTCCTGGGTCTGGAATACTTCATAATTCAGCAGTCCATTCTGAAAAGTTAGAGAAGAGAACGACAAATCAGCACAGGTAACAAAACTCTCCAATGCTCGGAAACGTTCAAAGACAAAGCAGCTCACGCTGCAGCATCGTTTATAAGCACAAGTGGAGCGAGAAGCATGAACGCTTGGCAACCATATCCGAATAACATAATTATTATTTTTATCAGGAAGAACACTGAAGCCCAAAGCAAAGAGCCAATGAGCTTGACAGTTGGTGGGTTGAGGTTTTTCACAATTTTCCAGTTTGTAAATGCACCAGTCAGGAGAGCAATCATCTGCTTCAGCTGGAAGATTTATTTGTAGCTTAAATTTTGCTTCCCACCAAAAACCTAACACCACTCTGTGTCTGAATCCTGTAGGTACTGTAGCTTATTGTCTCACTCTCAGTTTTCTAAAAATCCAAGTGCTGGAAGTGAGGCAGGCTCCACAGAAACACCACTGACCAAACTGGCCAGCCCGGTAACACTAACCAAAGCCGAAGGCAGCACCTCACCAAACTTCTTGCTCAGCAGCTTTAAACAGGGTGAGCAGGTAGTGGTCCCTGCCTCTTCCTCCAAAGAGAGTGATGGAGGGAGAAAAGGAAATAGGCTCACATTCTGATCACATTCTATTGACACAGTGTTCTCCACTGACAATAGCACCAACTGGGCTGGGTGTTTTGTTACAAAATCAGACCTCAAAATCACGCTTGGGGTAGCGCAAAACACATGATATGGGGAAAGTACCAAAATAATTTTCATTAGACAAATTAAACAGGCCGACCATCTAACCTACAGCTGCTGGAACAACTGTACACATTTATATGTTACAATTTCTTCTCTCAATTCCTTCCATTCTAACCCAAGAAGACGCACAGAAAACCTGTCTTCAAGAGGCAGCATCCCCCCGACACTGTACCAAATAGAAACGTTCTTCACGCCGACAGCAGACGCCGACTCTCAGGGGTTCAGCAGGTAGAGCTGACCTTATAAATCAAGTAACGTTAAAATTCGGTGCAGGGTGACTCTTCCAGTCTGAGCACAGGGAATCTCTCCCTTCCTGTCATCACCCCCACCCCATTCCTCCCCACAGCAAAAAAGCACAATGCTCCCTCTGAGTTCTAGAATGAGAAACAAGTCAAGTCATTCAATGAGGAAAACCCTCCTGCAAAGTCCCTGGCACTTAATTACCCATCTTCTGCTTTACTTCCAATCAAGAAGACTCGCTGTCGCACGTGGCAATCCTTCCTTAAATGGAGGAAATACACGCTTTCCAGTCATTTCCACACCCTGAAACTAGTCCCTCCTTCCCAAGAAAGAACTTCAAATACAGAAAAGGACCTATTACCCTTCACTCCAACTTTTAGTCCAAACAAAATATCCCCAGTTCCCTAATGAGCTCCTATGTCGGACTAATGAAGGGTTCAGTGATACAGGAAAAGTGGAGAAACCAACAGAACCTTTTCTTTCTGGGCCCAATTTTAGCCCAATAAGGAGCTCTACATTGTAAGCAAAGGGACAAATTTACAACTTACAAAGTTGTCAGCCCAAGAAGGAGCTTACAACTGAGATATACTATTGCTTACAAGGTCAAGCTTGTGATAGATTAAAAAGGGCCACAGATGCTTTGCTACTCCCTCTTCCACCGAGGTGGGGTCTCATCCCCCCACAGTGACCCTGGGATTGGTCTGAGCCTTGCTTTGGCCAGTGGGAAATCAGAGACTGCAGGAGCGAGCAGAGGTCACGTGGAGCTTGCGTGACTGCTGTGCTGTCAGAAAGCTGGTCTAGACTCCTGAACACGAGAGGCCATTAGAGGAGAACCAGCATGCTTCAAAAACAGCCGGCAGCACCTGCCAGACACGTGAGTCCACGGAGGGACCATTCAGCCTCTCCTGTCATCCTCTGACTGCGGCTACACAAATACATCTAAGGAGACAAAAACCACCAGGTTAAACCACAAAAGGGTAAGAAATAGTTCATTGTTGTTTTAAGCCACGAGATTTGTGGTGCTTTGTTACACAACAGTAGATATCTGATACACTCCTTCTTCCCCTAAACATCTATCTTTCATTCTCAATGAAAAGAATCTCATATCCTTTATTCCTTCAAGGGGCCTAAAATCAACAGACACTAACCAGCAATGATGATGATGATACCGTTTTTGAGCAACCACATGAGGTGTCAGGCTCTATGCTAGATGATTTGTACAGACTATCTCTAATTCTCCAACCCACTCTATAAAGGAGATATTAACATCCCTATTTTACAGAGGAAGAAACTGAGGCAAAGGTAAGTAATTTTCTAAGGTTGCGTGGCCATAAGTTTCCCTTCCCCACCTTCAAACCCTTGTTACTACTAGTCTGGCCTAGTTCTGTTCTGACTCAGGGAAAGAAGGTCAGACTTCATGCTTAGCTGGGAAGCAACAGGCAAGCGAGTGAAGTCTCCACTCCCCAGGGAGGAAGGAGCCCTGCATTCAAGTCTCTTTCCTGTGATTTTTAAAATACATATTATATCAAAACTTCCTCTTCAGCTGGAATTCTGTAAGATTTCTAACAAATAAGTATATGCTTCTTGATCGTAATTATGCAGTAAAGCTTTAGCATACTCAAAAGTAGGTCACAAACTCCTTACGGAGGAAACCCACAGAATGAGATACTAGAAGCCCTCACGCATTAAGCAGACTGGTCCTCTCTGTTCTCTCTTTTTCTCCTTAATTTAAAAAAAGAAGTAACGGATGATCCCCTCCTGCACAAAAGTACAAGACCTCCCTCCCACTGGCCTGTCCCCCAGCCACTGCGTTTCCCCACCTAAAAGTGAAGACTGTCGCTAGCTTCCTGTACCTCCTTGCACAGATATTTTTAGCTACCCAAGCAAATAAGTATATGTGTTCTCCCCTCTGTACCCCCCAGGGAGAGTTTCCTAAGCATTTAAATTACATCACAAGAAGCAGCCCAACTCTGCTGCAGGCCAACAGGAAAAAGTTAAAAAATACCAGGTTCCGCAAGAATGAAGAAACAGCAGGACAGCAGGACAGCCTGATGTAATGTACACATGTGAGACAGCCTCCAGTCTTGACTCTGCCCTTCCTGAGTGGCAATGGGAAGAATACTGGCTCCACATTCATTAAGTAAGATTAAGGGTGGGAAGGGCTTGCACAGGGCATTTTTGTTTGTTTTGCGGTACGCGGGCCTCTCACTGCTGTGGCCTCTCCCATTGCAGAGCCCAGGTTCCGGATGCGCAGGCTCAGTGGCCATGGCTCACGGGCCCAGCCGCTCCATGGCACGTGGTATCTTCCCAGACCGGGGCACGAACCCGTGTCCCCTGCATCGGCAGGCGGACTCTCAACCACGGCGCCACCAGGGAAGCCCTGCACAGGGCATTTTTAAAAAATAGCTCCAGGACTTCCCTGGAGGTCCAGTGGTTAAGACTCTGCACTTCCCAGGCAGGGGGCCCGGGTTGGATCCCTGGTCGGGGAAATAAGATGCCACATGCCACGTGGCGTGGCCAAAAATAAAATAAAAAGTACTTTACATTAAAATAAATAAATAATAAAAAATAGATCCTCTCTCGATCGCTTACTTACGGTCCCTACTCTGTGGCACTTGGGCCACAACCACAGATGAGTGCCGAGGACAGGGGCAGAGAACAGAACCAGCTGTGAGCTCTGATCTTCTGCGTCTACTACAGGCTTCTCCATAAGAGAAGTTCAAGGTAGGACCATTTTCACTCGTGACCGAAAACAGCAATGAGTTAATATTTCTCCTAAGTGTATAGACTGGCTGGGCTCAGCTGGCAGGTCCTTCTGCTAATCTTGCCTGGGATCACTCAGGCAGCTGCTGTCATCTGCCAGCCTGACTACAGCTGAAGAGTCTACAGTGGCATCACCCACATGTCTGAGGCACTGATGCTGGCTGTTGGCTGGACCTCTTGCCACACGTGACCTCTAACCACTCAGTAATATAGTCTGCAGTTCACTATACGTGGTTGGAACATTCCAAGATGGCGAAGGGAAGTGGCCAGGCCTCTCAAGGCCCAGGACGCAGAACGTGCAAATCACTTCTGCAACATTCTATGGGTCAAAGCAAGTCACAAGGTCAGCCCAGAACAAAAATGTGAGCAAATGGATTCTACCAGTTAAAAGGAGCCACAAAACATTGCAGCCATGTGCTTCAATCTAACATATATGTAGTCATGTATGTAGTGGGTATCTGTAGAATGACTACATGGATGGGGTAAATACATTTGTCTTCTCTGTCTGCCCATTATCTTGATTACTTTTATTTAACCATCAATTTATCATATATCACATCTCATTACAGAAGATACAAAAGAAATGACTATAATCTATGACTTGACTTGAAAACGCTTCCAACTTACTTGGAGAGAACAAGAGATACGTACTCACAAAAAGCTTGTCAATGTGAGAATTCAGCACAAACACAGGGACTTCCCTGGTGGTCCAGTGGGTTAGACTCCACGCTCCCAATGCAGGGTGCCGAGGTTCCATCCCTGGTCGGGGAACTAGATCCCACGTGCCACAACTAAAAGGTCCCGTGTGCCGCAACGAAGATCTTGCATGTCACAACTACGATCCAGTGCAGCCAAATACACAAATAAATAGTAAAAAAAAAAAAAAAAACAAAAAAAAAACCCACAAACACAGGACGCACAGTTAGCAGACTTCACAGATAGAATGCCGCACCTGCCAAATAAGGGCTATGAATAAGTACTGTGGTTGTTTAGAGAAGGGATGGATCAAGAAGGCCTAGAGTGACCAAGTCAAAACCAGTCAGACAAGGCTCAGTCTAAGCTTTGTCTCGAAACATGGACAGGACGTCCTACCTCAGTTATGGCACTTAATAGGGGGAAAAAGCCTAAGCAAGTGAGGGATGTGGAAACTTGTGAACGGTTGAGGGAAGAAGTGTGGCAACAGAGACAGTGAGATACCTCTGAGATGGGCAAGCATTATTACTCCCACTTTTTTTTTTTTTTTGGCCGTGCAGCTTGCGGGAT